GTAGGAAATATTATAGTCGACAGGGGTTTTCGGGAAAGTAATAGTTCAGTTTTCCCCTTCTCCGTGACTGTACTTCGGACCGTGCGCGCATCGACTGAAGGTCGGTAGAGGGCGTTCCTAGCTAACAAATGAGTGGATGGTCAGTTGTCTCCGAGAACCTGAAGAGTCGCGACAAACATTTTCTCGCGTCGTGTATCTGTCATCTGTATGCGCATGCCAAAAATGTAGCCTTCGCTAGAGCAAAGGTACGCGATTAAATTCTGTGTGAAACTCGGTAWTGTGGTGTATTTCGGTGGCACCAGGCTTTTTTTGGAGGGTAGGGAAGAGGTCGCTGCTAAAGACCGGAAGAATGAGCAAATCCAAAGTAATATGCTTATTGTCTTTTTTGACATCAATTGCACTGTCTCGCCTGGACAAACCGTTAACGCCAAAGTTGTATGTGGAAGTCATCACGACAACGTCTCGGCTCACACTGTCTTTTTTGTGAACAGCTACCAAACCAAGAACGCCCAGATGTGGCTACGAACCTTTTTTGTTTTCTTGCCTGAAAAGGCAGATGAAAGGGGATTCAAACAGCATGCAACTCGGGTCTCAAGACAATTCCGGAGAATGCCTTCCGTSACGCCCTCGTGCTTGAAAATGGCGCTGGCGGAGCTTATTTTGAAAGTTGTTAAAGAATTGTAACGATTGTTTTAATATTTTTTTTTTTTTAAATCGACTCAATCTTTTTACTTTCCGGACAAACCCTGTATATCCTTCTTATCATTTTCTACCCAGTTGATCGTATAAAAGTATAACAATTTCTTGTATTTGGTTTCCAGATTCGTAACTTTGTTGTTTGTTTGTTATACCTCGAACAGTGTATACATTGTGGAATGACCTTCGGCGAACCATGTTTTATCTTTTCGATCGATTGAAAACGAGTTCCACGTAGCGACAATTGTAGTTTGAGGAACAAGAAGAACTTCCATGGAGCCAAATGTGCTGAATACGGTAGTTGATCGATGCTATTCACTGCGTTTTTGGCTTTAAATTCAGTCACAATCGTACTATTTTTCAAAAAGAAATCAGCTTTATGGGGACGAGTCGAGCAAGAACGATTTTCATTTCCAAAATATCCACCAAAATTATTCAAACGAACTCGCGAGAAAAGTCGAGCACTTCTGTCATCTCTCTAACACTTGCCTGACGATTTTCWATCACCATATCCCTCACTTTTTTAATATTTTCATCAGTTGCAAAGGTCGAAAGTCGTCCAGAACGAGGYAGGTTTTCAATGATCTCTCGACCGTGTTTGAAGGTTTTATATCACTCGTAGGCTKGTGTTTTTGTTAAAACTGAATTACTGTAAGTTTATTCCAACATTCGCAACGATTCCGCACGAGAAATTCGGTTAAAAATACAAAATTTGAGACAAATTCTTTATATGTATTATTTATCCATTGTAAAAATGTAATGGATATTTTATCCATTGTAAAAATCGCAACATACTACCGTGGTGTACCGATATTAGGCAGCTGCTGTAAACAAACTGGTTGACATATCGCGCTCATATTTGGCATTGTAATTAAGGACACCACTACTAACTTAGCAGGATACATTTTCTTTTAAATATCATTTGTCCGGGGAATTTAAATTACAATTTCGGGGTACTTTTTTGTCACAATATATTTAGCTTTGTTCATTTGTCTTTATATTATATATGCGAACTAGTTTCGCAGTTTTTGAGATATCAATTTGAAATTTTGCGGCCCCTGAACATTTATCGTAATGGCCAATATCGGACCACTATAGCATATATGTAGCTGTCATACAAACTGAACGATCGGCCTTTTTCACCAAACGAAATATCTTGCCGAGGGCACTGGTTATTTCTGGTTAACTTAACCAAGACTCCTTCTTTTACAACCTTTTATTTTAACCAGAACTTAACTGAGAGATATCTGCTGACCAGAGATTGAAAAAATGGCGCTAAATCTTCTATTATCATTACACGTATAGTAGTTCAAGCATAATAGACACTCAAAATTTTCGATCGGTTTACTATTGCATACATTTACTTCCCGCATAGCCGATTCCAATAATGAAAGCAGTGATTGCCTCTTATCACCGTGTCTTCGAATACCGTTTACGAACAATGGATGTGAGAAATTTCAAGTTTTCCTTTATTTGACTTTATACACACTCACGCTTGATAGAATGTACCGATAAGATAATGTAACGTAACATAACACAATTCAGCTTAACAGCTGTYCCGTGACGTTACAACAGCGCGTTATTTTGTATTTATGTTCTGCTATCTGTGTTTTGTCACTAAACTGACCTGAAATGTTTATAGTATTCTTGTATAAATTTCTTCAAAGCATTGTCTAAAGAAAATTAAAATTTAATTGTTTCTGTATTGAGATAAAAGCAAGGTCACCAAAATTAGATAACATGTAAGGAAGTGCTAAGTTCGGATGCAGCCGAACATTTTATACTTTTGCAACTTGCAGGAATCAAAGCCAGGGAAATACTTTAAGGTGTAAAACCAATCATAAAGAGTAAAGTCAGCCGGATGTTCGAAAATCCTGGTGATGTAGGGGCTAATCCAAGTTTTCGCTCAAATTTACCTATTTTAAGCACAAAGATACACTGTTATGATCAAAACATGCGCTCTTATTTTCACAGAGATAACTCGCCGATACATCCAGCATAAAATCTGTAACCTGTAAATTCGAAAATCTTTATTTTAAGTATTGAATCAATTTTTGAGATAGAGACAAACCATTATAAGAGAATGATTATCTCCTAATTTCAGTTATATATATCACATAATGGCCGACATTTTCGATCAAAAAAGTGGACGGTGCCACGCCCATTGTCAAATTTTCACACCGGATCCCATAAGGCCCTCTCATACCATCCCGAAGCCAAAATTTAATGACTCTGGCAGTGGTTCGATTATGTCCATCTACGAACTCATGTTTTTTTCACTAAGAAACGCGCATACCAAGTTTCATCAAATATCGCAAATTTTACTCAAGCTACAGCTTACACGGGCGGATGGACAGACAGTCACCCGGATTTCAACTCGTCTGGTCATCCTCATCATTTTATATATTTAACCCTTTATATCTCTCGATTAATTTTAGTTGATACGTACAAGCGTTAGATGAACAAAACTATTATACAGCCTGCCAAAAAGGTATCGGGAATTTAWAAGTAAAACGAAACTTTTTCAATCATCATCCAAATKTATTTTAYCGYCTTCAAAGTAACAACCATTCGAAGCGATGCACATGTGTCAACGCTTCTTCCAATCGTCCAAAACATTTTTTATAGGCACTTTCCGGGTTGGCCTTCAGCTCACGCGTCGAATTTGTTTTGTTGTCTTTAATGGGGTCAAAGCGTGTTCCCCGAAGTAGATATTTCAGTGTGGAGAATAAGAAAAAGTCACAGGKGGCCATGTTGATGGTTTGACCAGTTGGAACGTATTCRCAGTGGACGACACCACGAATATCGAAGAAAACAATGAGCATTACCTTCATTATCGATCRGCTTTGGCGCGCCTTTGGGCCGCCATTCAGATGATTGCTGATTAGTAAATTCGTAGATTCATGTCTCGTCACCAGAAATTATGCGTTCCATGAAGGTGGGATTCTAATTGGCTCGATCCAGCATGTCTGCGGCTACCTGTTCTCGATACCTTTTTTGAAGGAAATTCAGCTCTATCGGAACAAGTCTTGGACCGAGCAACGCGTTGGATGCCCAATTAGTCATGTAAAATCGTGCGTACCCTCTCGTGTGATATCTCTAATTTACGGGCAATCTCTGTCATTTTCGACAACAGTTTCCTTCACTTTTTCAACCGAAGAAAGAAGACCGTCCAGAACGAGGCATATCATTGACGGTCTCTCGACCCTTCATGAATGTTCTGTACCACTCGTAAGTCCGCGTTTTTGATAGAGCAGATTCACCAAAAGCCTTCTGCAACATTTTCAATGAATCGACACACGAAAACTCGTTCGCAACAAAAAATTTAACACAAATACGTTGAACAATATATTCGGTCATTGTAAAATTCAACAAACACTACTGAGGTCGACTGACATWAACAGCGGCTGTAAAAACACTGGTTGACAGAACGCGCTAATTTTTGGCATCATAATTAAGGATAGTTGTACCAACTTAGGAAAAATCTGTCTTTCATATAAGCGGGAGATTTAAATGACAACTCCGCGATAGTTTCTTGACAGGGTGTACTCTGTAGCATTATTTGGGAAGAGTATAAAAATATATAATATAGCAAGCTCATGCGGTTTTATTATTATTATTATAATTTTTTTTTTTTTTGCTCCGACTTCCTGACTTTCGCCCTCTAAAAAGCCAGTGAATAAATATTTTTTTTTTATGTGACCTACGATGATGATGTCGATTCGATTTACATAAATCGATTTTTTTCACTTAACATTGAGCGTGTGGCTCTTCTCCGCTAGCCAGCGGATATGATTTCAGGGTCAGTTTTTTGCAAAGTCGCCAGCTTTTTTAACATAAACAAGGATTTATGAATTTCAAATTGCTTACTTTAAAGATAAACTTRACAAGCGAAACTTAAATCGGTGTATTTGAAGGTCAGCTTAAATTTTCAATGACAATATCGGAATTTTCAGTGTCTGCATATATATTTATATTAATATAAACACGTATAAACGTGTTTGTATATATGTATGTATATATTTTTTTGTACCAAAAATAATTTGCGCAGCTTGGAAACCGTAATGAACTATTGAAACAGCAGTTTGAAGATATTTATTTWAATTTTTTGTTCAAGGACTGTTTCCGTTATATTATTTATTTACAATTACATGGAAATTTAACATAAATTTTAAATATTTGGTTCATTAAACTTTAACGACAGACAGTCGCCACAAGTTCACCTGCCGATAGCGTCGCCTACTGGGTTTTTGTCATTTTAAAATAAAAAAAAAAAAAAGATTTTATTTTTTTTATTTTTTTAGGTTACACAAATACGTTCAACGACGCCATGAAGAGYTCGGTCCAATATTCTACGAACGTCTGGGCGGCGTACAGGATGCCATATTTGTTTCATCAGCAAGTCAAATGCGTGCGGTATTYCAATATGAGGGCCAATATCCACGGCATCCGCTGCCAGAGTCGTGGATTTTATACAACAGGCAGCACAATTGTCAGCGCGGCTTGTTCTTCATGTGAGTTAAGACGTACAAAAACAAAAAAGTAGCAGAAAAAAAAACGCACTTGCATTTTTTTGCTTGAATTTCATTAACACTTAATTTAATTTTTTTTTATCGCTTAATCTCAAACGTTTAGGGAGGGTCCCGAATGGCTACATAACCGACGCATATTAAATCGTTTTCTGCTCGGCGGCACCATGAAGTGGATGGATGTGCACATCGATGCGTGTACGCAACGTTTGGTGAATCTGTGGAAGACGCAGGCGGCCAAAGCGCAAGGCAGCTACACCGAAGTGCTGGAGCTCGAACAGCAGCTCTACAACTGGGCAATTGATGGTGCGTTGGCACGCGTGAATATAAAAGCATATTTCCTATGTTAACTCTTCTAACAATTCTGCATTTAGTGGTTTGCACCATCATGTTTGGCGTTTCAGCGGCGGAAAATCCGCATATGGCCAAGACAATGGATGAATTCTCGCGTATTGTGCACGGAATATTCGACACAAGTTCGGCGCTTATGACATTTCCACCACAATTGGCCAAACGTTTCAATATGCGTATTTGGCGTGATTTCGAGGCGAGCGTCGCCGCGGTGCTRAAGAAGGGCAACGATTTGATTGATCTGTTAGTTGAGTTACCAGAAGACATTACAAATGGTTTGTGTGTGAAAAATGGTGTCGACTGTCACGATTGTAGTGGAGATTCACTCTTCCAGAAACTCATTTTAGCCGACATGCCATTGGATACGATTAAGCGCATATTTGTGGATTTGGTTATTGCCGCCGGCGATACGGTAAGCCATGTTTCAATGTTTTTTATATGCTGAACAGGGTGTATTATGTTTGTCACAAGGTTTCTAATACCCAAAGGAGGCCTCGCAAACTCAGTTATGCATACGAGTTTATACAAATGATCAATGTGGCGGCTGAGTCGAATTACACAACTAGTCCATCGCCCGTCGCTATAAATGCGAATTAGCACCGCAAGTTCTAAGATATCCATTTGAAATGTGTTTTTCTCCGCAAGTAGCTACTCATTTGTCAGAATTGATGATATCCATACACTATGACGTATAGCTGCCATACAAACTGACCGATCAGATCCAAGTTCTTGTATGGAGAACTTTTTTATTTGACAAGATAATTTCACCCAATTTGGCACAGATTATTGTGGATGACAGCGCGACAATCTGCGAATATATTTTTAAGATCGGGCCACTATGGCAAATAGCTGTCATACAAACTGGTCGATCAAAATCAAGTACTTGTATGGAGAACTTTTTTATTTGACAAGATATCTTCAAGAAATTTGACTCGGATTATTCTCGAAGACAGTGCTACAACATTAGAGTATATTGTTCTGATCTGACCATTATAGCTTATAGCTGCCATACAAACCGACCGGCACAAATCAAGTCTTTGTATGAAAAAATTTTTTATTTTACCTTATTGTCTTCACGCAAATTGGTACAGATTATTGTCGATGACAGCGCGACAATCTGCGAACATTTTTTTAAGATCGGGCCACTATAGCAAATAGCTGTCATACAAACTGGTCGATTAAAATCAAGTACTTGTATGGAGAACTTTTTTATTTGACAAGATATTTTCAAGAATTTTTACAAAGATTATCGCCCAAGGTAACATTATAATCTCCGCACCAAATATAGGAATCGGACAACTATAGCTTATATCTATCATATAAATTGACTGATCGAACGCAAGTTCTTGTATAGGATTTTTCTTATTTGACAAGTTATCTTCACAAAATTCGGTATATATTATTGTCTAAGGCAACGCTAACAACATCCTAACAAATTATTTAAATTAATATACAATAGTATATACCGCCTGCCAGACAAATTGTCCACACTACTGGGCTAAAAGAATTCTTTTTCATTACTCTTAAATTATCAAAACTTCAAAATATCAAACCAAAAATATCCACACATTATAACACATGCAACATAACCTTATTAAAATAGGTATACTAATTTAACGGAACTTTTTTTAAATTAATATTCCCCCACTACAGACAGCCTACACAACGGAATGGGCATTTTATCTACTCACTCAGAATCCGGAAATGCAAGAGCGTTTGGCCAAAGAAATGGCTGCGCATGACGGGCGCGGCAATATGCTGGTACATGGCCTTATAAAAGAGGCCATGCGTTTATATCCGATTGCACCATTTATTGGACGCTACTTAGACACTGAGGCCAACATTGGCGGCTATCAAATCGAAAGAAATGTATGTATGTGAATTAATAAACAGAAAACGTAACTATTATTATGGTATATACTTGTATGACATATGTATGTGAGCTTGATTGTGCATGAAATGATTGTTTAAGTTAATAATTGTTGTTGTAATTTTCAATATTTTGTTTACAATCCACGGTAGATACATATATTAAATGTTATATAATTTGCATGGCTTATTTGTTGCTGTTATTTATTGAAATTGTATATAATTTTTTTTTTACCTGAAAATAATTGAAAAAATGCATTTAATTTATTTTAAATATTTATATAAATGTGCACTTACACTTACATCATACTTTTATTGCATAATCTTTCTGCTAACTTTCTTAAACTACAAATAGTTGCTTTATTAAAATTTGTATGGCTTACCGCTAATCTGTTTTTTTTTTCTTAAAACTCTTTAAAAAACAGAGCTTAGTGCTGCTCTCCTTGTACACGGCCGGTCGTGAATCCAAACATTTTCCCGATCCAGAGACGGCAAAACCAGAGCGTTGGCAACGCAACGAGGAAACCGGCGAACTACGTGAAGTCTTGCAATCGCATGGCTCCCTACCATTCGCCATCGGCAATCGTTCGTGCATTGGCCGACGCATGGCGATGAAACAAATGCACTGCCTGCTGGCGTCGGTAAGTGCATGCCATTCACATATGTATATAATAATAATGCCGTCAAAGCAAATATAATTTAATAATTTATAACATAATTAAAATTATTGTGCGCTGATTTGCAATTTTATAACACATTCCTGCATGTTTTTTCATGTTTCAGGTCATAAGCAATTTTAAGTTGCAATGTAACAATACAACACCAATTGACTGCAAGCTGCGTTTGGTAACGGTACCGGATCAGCCGCTACGACTGGCAATAAAACTTCGTGACATCGCATAGTATTAGTTAATACATATACATACATACACAACACGTATATATATTCAGTATATATATATATATATATATGTGTATATATAGTGTATAATATTCTTTGCACTCAATTTAGATTTTAAACACACATACATATATAAAATATTAAGAAATCTCAAATATAACGGAGCATGAGGATATTAAGGACAATAATTATTTAGCTAAATATACATATGATATATATCTATGTATATATGTAATTACACAAACAATGCTAGTATAGTGATATATATAGAAAATAGTAATATAAAAATAAACAGTCCGAAAATGGGCGCACGCCATAATGAGTAACCGATCAGCATGGCAAATGTGATGAGCCCAAGCACTTGGTATGAGGCCAATGGCCGCAGGCATATGCGGGCGGGTAGACGTTCCTCACACAATTCACTGACACCTTAAAATGTTGCAATTTTAATAAGTGAATAATTTTAGTTATATTAGTAATTTGTTTAATGTATTAAAAAAATATATATACTATATACACAAATATCGGTAAGTAAATAGAAAAAATATAATATTTATGCTACAAAATTAAATTTGGTAAAGCAAAAAATGTGTTTATTACCTCTTGATTTGTCAAACCACTGCTGCGTCATGGGCGGATACAGAAGTTGTCGCGCTATTTTGCCCACAAAGTCTGCGCGACACCAAAGTGCATGAATTTCGTTGCCAAACTGTAGGCAAATGGAGTATATTTTAAAATTAATTTTATTGTGTTCAAAGGCAATTACTTGTCTTTCATACACACCATTTCATTTAAGCGACAGGAAATTCTGTGCAGAAAGCGTACTAGGAATTTAACTTCATAATCCTTTATAGGCACTGTGGCGGGATCGATTGTCGCTGATAAATTCGCTAAATTGTTTTGCATCTGTAAAATATTAACTTATTAAATCAAATATGTTTCAAAAAAAAAAAAAAAAAGTGTTTAAATTGAAAATTTGGTAGACTTGGTTGAGAAACAGTTTGTGCATAAATAAATACCATAAAAGGTAAAAAAAATATATATATTTTTAAAACAAAACAAAAAGCAACCAAAAAATTTTGGCGGCACCGAAACTATAACATGAACACCGTTATTTTGTTGCTGTTATGGTAAAGGGTACCTGATCACAATTAGGATGGTAGGGATTAGATAAGTTGTCATCCATGTCATCCAACATTAGGCCCAGGAAACTCGACGGGTCGGATCAAAAGAAAGGCTTGCAAAGGGGTGGTAGTGTCGTGAGGGGACTCATTGCTGGACATATGCGCAAGGGTTACTCTCACTTCTCGCGGCAACTCGAGCTCTTCGGGCAATGGGGGCTGCGAACACCCCCAGCAGGAACAGGTGTTCGTTGGGAGATATCAAGAAGCAACCTGTCGTAGTCCGAAGTGCAGTGTTCCGACAAGTTTGGAGCTTTCTCGTCTGCGTATCACTGCATCCAGGCGACCATATTGATGCAGCATAGTAAAGGACCGGTCGGCCGATTGCCCTATATGTTGCCAACTAAGTTTCTTTGTCTTTTACCCTTGCGCTGCCGGTTAGCGACTTGAGAATTTTGTTGCGGCTCTGTACTTTGGCAATAATCGCGGTCGTATGAGGAGTGAAGGARCACAAGCTGTCGAAAATCACACCTAAAATTTTTGGGTTATTGCCAGTCGGAATCTTAACGCCATCGACTGCAATATTAAGTTCAAGTCTGTACTCCTTCGTCCAGTTTATGAATATGGTCGCTTTTGATTTAGTTAGGGAGTGTGTTAAGCTGTCTCTTATACACATCTAGATGTGTATAAGAGACAGCCTTCGTCCTTGAATTTGATCGGTCAGTTGTCCATTCTCACGACAGCCGTTCCTACGTAACCGGTACTGGCCCGAATTTTGTATCCGGGCAAGGACTGTCAATTCGGCAGATTTATGTCGCTACAACAACAACATACATTAAACATGTATCCGAAGAAAAACTTCAAGGTATCTAACAAACCCGTGATGTTAATAGGCCGTCTCATTGTTGTTGTAGCCGCATATAATATTCCAGAAATCATTTTAAGCGTTTTGTCAAGCCGATTAAGAAGTCAAAAATCTATGGAAGCTTTTTTTTATAGATAAAGAAATAAAAAAGTGTAAGGCTGGATTCGGGTACTTTCGGTACCGACAGGATATAATTGCAATTTGTTATTGTTTTTTTTTTTTTTCAAAAATAGTTTTTGACAATGCTGTCGAGATAACAATCTCTAGTTCGATTAAACTTCGGATCCGTTATTGTTAAATAAACCGTATTAATGTGTGTAAGAGCAGTCACGTACTCAACTCACCCGACGAAGCGCGCCCATTAGCGACAAAATTCATGCGAAAAAACTACACTTTTTCCATATTCTAATACCCGAGCTTCACTTTTTCCAAGTCTTAGGAATTCAAATCAATATTATGCACTCACCTGTATTGGTGAAATTTTTGATATATCCAAATAATCACTACTATCGTATGCAGAAATRTTTAATTGCGGACTGCTGCGGTCGTATATTTGTTCCAATGTAATATCCGGCAAACGTACCTACATATAAACATTATTATTGAAATACAATAACTTTATATATTAAGTAAGTGTAAGCAACTTACATCGAACATATTGGACAATGAGCGTACAGCTAAATCGAGTACATCAGGTATTTTGGCAATTTCTTGTAATTTCAACTCTGCCGGTGAGACATCAGCAAATATGCTGGCAAACATTTTACGCAAAAAGCTATGCGCTTTGCGTTGCTCCACAATATCGCGTCGTATACTGTCGATTTCTTGCAGCACATATAAACGTGAAATGCATACAGTTTTGATCACTTGCTCTATCTCGCATTTAACTGCTGGACCAAAGAGTGGTGTGTAGCTTTCCTCATGGAAAATGCCATCCCATTCGTTTTTGCCTTGTCTGGAAGAAATTAAAAGCTATGTTAATTCACATATATTATTATGCTAAATGTAAGAGCAATGATACCTGGCGTAAACTGAATGCTTTCTTGGTGAATCCGTGCCGAGTTGACATATATATGCTTGCTCTGCTTTGCAAAGCATTGCCGGCAGGTTAGGCTGACTGAAAACCTACAATTAGATTTCGAATATTATTTGGCACATATTACAAAATGCTGTTGTTATCACTTTTGAATATTTGAATACCCTGCTCTAACGCACCTTAACCAAACGATGCAGCATAATAACATTTCTAAATGTTGTGAAATCTAGGCGCTCGAAACGTGGCAATATGTAAACAAAAATTTGCGTATATATGACCAAATTCTCCGCTATGAATGTGCTAAAGCGCTGGCTTACTGCTACTTCATTGCCACTAGGACCCGACGCCACACTGTTGCCAGCATTAACACCACTACCACCACTGTCAACAATTACCAAAGTTAAACAAATGTCACATGTCACACCCAAATAGATTTTCGCTTACTAATAGCCTGCACTTGGGGCATCAAACAGATATCGCCAAGGTTGTATGTAGCTAAGCCATAACTCCAGCACCACTGATAACGAACTATCCAGTGGCCAGCGTCCTATAATGCTTTTAAGAAATGGGTAAATGCGTGTTTTCATCATTGGATTGGCCAGTTTACGTAACATCATCATTGGTGTATGATCCAAGTGCGTCGAATTCGCAAATGTATGCACTTGCTTAACCAATATACGCACAACGCGTATAAATTCGCTGCTTGGTAAGTCCTATAATGTATTTAAAAAAAAAAAAACAAATATTTGAAATATTTTCAACATTTTTACAATGATACTTACGAAAAAAAAAAACAGTGTATTTGAAACAATTTTACAATCTTATATTAAGATAGAGTCGTCATGTTGTCATAACGATAATGTATTTAAAAAAAAAAAAACAAATATTTGAAATATTTTCAACATTTTTACAATGATACTTACGCGTGCCTCATCGATGTCATAACGCAGCCATGTATCTATGAAGAAATGCAGCACGGATTCAGTGCGCCAGCAATGTGTACGCGGCGACTCACAATTTCGTGCGGCCTGCACAGCCGCTGCAGCCGCCGCTGACGTAGAYGGACTGTCTGCCTGAAACAAACTGGTGTTTGATGGTATTTTCAAATATTTTGGSGAGCGTTGCGGCTGCAGCGGTTGCACCGGCTGCAGTGGTTGTGGCGCCTTAACCGACGTACAAATATTTGTCGGAAAAACGATTGCATCTGGATTACCCGGCAAAAGAGTGCAGAGATATTCAGCTGTTAAGAAGAAGTATACCGTTTTCATGCGCTCATTATGCACTTGTAATGCAGCTGGATACAATTTATGCAGTGGAAATGTCGCGTGTATAACATAGTGAAGCATATAATAATCGAATGCGTTCAGTAGAAGTGATGTGACTTGTCGACGGAATGGATCAATGTTTACTAAGTCGGCATAGAAAAGTGAATATTGGCCAGATTGTATCATCTCGCTTACTTTGTGCTACAATCGATATGAATGTTATAAAAATCGATGCTATTTAATAATATAAACATTATTAACTCACCGGTAGCAAATCCAAATTGAATTCAAATTTTATAGCCTCATTTAGTAGGCGATAGCACAGCCGTAACATTGGACCCATGGGTGAGAAGAACTCATGCAGTATATCGAAGCACATTGGCGAATTTTCCTTGGTGGTCGCACGTAAGCCCCAACCAAGACCGCCACTACCTATACCAAATACTGATTGTACTATTGTCGGGAACACATCCTGTAGTTCACGTAGACTGCAACGCTCGAACAGCTGCGTCAATTCTACACAACGGTCCGGTATGGGATAACTCATCAGCTCCATTATTCGATTCTATGTCACACGTACAGATGGTCAATGCATACAAATAATTTGAGGTTATTTTCCAACTTAATTGATATTATTTWTATGCAATTAGTACTTACACCAAGATTCTCGTTATAAAAGGCCATTATTTTCTGCTTGCCTTTTGCAGTATGTTAAATGGTAGAATATTTTTCTTCAACTCAGTTTGTTTACTACTAAAACGGCGGTAAGTTTGTCACTACAAGAGTTTCTGCGGCAGCCGGCTGCATACCCACTGTGCTACCAGATGTATAAACAAAACAATGATGTAATTTCTTTGTAAAAGGATTTTAGTTACAGAAATTTTAAAGCTATTTGCAAATGGTGAATTAAAATTTAAAACTTTAATACAATAGCATGTGACAGGATTTCTTTAAAAACATAGAAATGTGTGCTACTATAAATTTAAATGAAATTTGATAAAAAATAAAATATAACTTAAGTAGTTTCCACATAGTTTTGATGTTAAGAAGTTATTTGCTAAATATATTTAATAGTCGCCGCATATTTTATTATATTTTCACTTTTTTTCTAGTTCTGCAATTTTAGTAATTCACCCATTTAGCGAATTCCATTGCATGTATATGCATATGTATCTAAATACACCACAGGGTGTCAATATTACTTTGCAAGGGAATGCACGGTTGCATACAACTCTTGCATAGCGAAGCACAAAACAACAAAAAAGTGGGTTAAAGTGTTTTTAAATTACTTGACTCTTCTATTTCCGGTTGCTATAAACAAAATAACAACACATATAATAACAGTCAGCCGTTGGGAAGGCAGGCAAATCGAGAAAATAGAAAATTTATAAAACTATTGGGAAATTATTGTTTTTTTTATTTTTATACGTATACATAAATAATATTATTGTTATTGTAATAAAATCACAGACGTGATASCATGGAGGAAGTGGATGTAACAACAGTCGATCAATACCAGACGCTGGTGCGCTACAATAATCCAGTTTTGGTGGTAAAACATCCTGACAAAAAGGGTGTACCAACAGAAATTGTAAGTCCAGCATGTTAGATTTTTAACGCAAGCTGAATTTAATATTTAATTGATATATTTAGGAGCTGAAGCGACCACTAACAGCCGGTGCTTTGCTCGACACTAAACGGGAAACCGAGGAGATATTGAATTCGATTTTGCCACCGCGCTGTTGGGAAGAGGATGGACAATTGTGGCAGCAAACAGTAAGTACATGAGGTGAAAAATTACCAAATAAGTGAAACTAAGCTTTTCGCTGAAAAAGCGTAATGTTAAATAAAGCAWAGAAATCTATAAAAATGTTGCCGCCAACTTGTACCTAAATTTATGTTTCTTCCAAAAGGTTTCAAGCACACCAGCTACACGACAAGATGTGATCAATCTGCAAGAGATGCTCGACACACGTCTTCAACAAACGCAGGCTCGTGAGACTGGAATATGCCCCATACGTAGAGAATTATATACACAGTGTTTTGGTAGGCAAAATATACTATACATGTACGTGGTGTTAAATACTAATGTTTAAATATCTGCTTTCTAGATGAAATAATACGTCAGGTCACCATCAATTGTTCCGAGCGTGGTTTACTGTTACTRCGCATACGCGACGAAATCACCATGTCAATGGAGGCATATGAAACGCTATACTGCAGTTCGGTGGCTTTTGGTATGCGTAAGGCATTGCAGGCGCACGAAGAAAAGGAAATGTTGCGTGATCGTGTCAAAACATTGGAAATGGAAAAAGAAACGCTCGAAGATATTATAAACGATATGAAAATTAAACAAGAGCAAGCAGAGCGACGTAATGCGGAATTGCGCGCGTCCGAAGAGAAGAAATACGCAGAAGAGGTGGCATTCCTCAAGAAGACCAATACACAGCTCAAGGCGCAACTGGAGGGCATTACAGCGCCAAAGAAGTGAAATATATATAYAAGTGTTGTCAAGGACTTTAGTGCAATTTTTTATATTTTTTGTGTAATAAAATGTTTATATTTCTATATTAATTGATGAATCTTTTGTTATTTTGATGACATTTTAAACTCTGATAATATTTTAGTGAATATGCAAATCACTCAGCATTCGTTGGCGCCTCAGCCGCATCAGTTTCATCAGGCGTCACAAGTTCCTCTATCTCGGTGGTTGCTGCCGGCGCTGTTGTCTCAGMAGGTATTTTCTGCTCCTGCTCCACCACATCCTCCRTGTTGATTTCATTAACAATYGGTGTGGGTGTGAATTTAGCAGCAGCTTTWGCTGGCTTTTTTATTTCGTTAGTTGGACGCTTAGCAGGCGGCTCTTCTGCTTCTCCGGCGGCTTCTTCTGTCTCAGGTGTTGCCGACACGTCGTCTTCACTCTCCTGCGGTAAGTTTGCGTACATTTGCAAGTCACCTTGCGCTGGTAGTTTCTCCTTTATCTCTTCCATGCGTTTCATATACATTTCGTATACATACTCGGCCATTTGTGACATATTGCTTACTTCGCACATGTTTGGTGCATCRACTTTGTCGTTGGTTAAACGCTGTGCGGGATAGGTTTCTTCTGGTAGTAATTGCAACCGCTGTGGACGTTGTGTRAGCTGCATTGAAARCATAAATGTTAATTCGAAACCACATTTTATATGGAAACATCGATGGACTTACCAATTTAAATGTTTGTTGCAATTCAAAGCAGTTCTTAAACAATGCTACACGTCCGAAAATATACAAGCCGAGACGCGCACGACTCATAGCCACAACTAAACGACGTACATCGCGTAAATGACCCACCGCTTTTGTGCGCACCAACGAAATGAGTATGTAATCGTTCTGTTGACCCTGATACTTATCCACAGTGGTGACTTTGTATGGCCAACCGATGAGTGGATTATTGCCACAACGCACATTAATTACATCGCGTATCAAATGCTTTTGTCCATTGTAGGTGGTCAATATAGATATCTTCTCGGCGGGGTAGCCCAATAGACGCATGTACATATAAACGGCTACTATGTACTCAGCCTCAGCGAGATTCTGTTGATTAAAAGTTAGGTTATGTAAAGAGTGGAAAGAATATTTTGCGAAGTGGAATGTATATGAGCTTTGAGCAAGGATAATGAGCGGAAGCAGTGGCAAGACAATGCGTGAACTTAAGGAAAGCAATGAAATCATGAGATGAAAAGGTGGGTTAGGGTAAAAAATTAAAATATTTTTTACCGAAATTGGGTATACTATATGTATAAGCATAATGAGAGGTATCTGACAAAAGATAAGCTATGATTTGCGTGTTTGGGGAATTTAGCAGACTTCAGATCAAATTATAGATGAAAATAAGTTTGATATAGTTAGATATTGAATGTAAATGTATATAGATTAGAGCGGGTTGATTCATAGTGAGCGAAAAAAATGGAAAAATCGCATATTTTGGATACATTCTACGGATCATTCTGATGAACTTTGGCTAAGAGAATATAGGATTAAAACAGATCTCGAGCCAGCGATTTTTATGGCAAAGTTTATTTTAGGAATTACAATTACATATATTCGACCCGCTCTAATATTCATAACCTATATACATATATCATCAAAACTTACTTGATAAAAGAACGGATTCGGTTCTGTTTCGCCCACACCYTTGAAATCATCCACGTTGATGAGCTGATAGTCGTGTACAAAGCCAGCATTTGCATTGCGGTATTCGGTACGCTCTAAGATATGCGAAAGATCGTCTAATCTCTTGTAGCGCCACTTATACAAGGAGCATATGCTAAAATTAAAACAAACAAAAAAATAAAAAAAGAACCAAGAAATAGCAGGTTCTCATATACCTTGATCTGGCACGTCCTTGGCCATCCAAATCGACCGTGGGTACGCCCAAACGCACCAARCGCGTAAATAAGCTTTGCTCCATATTCGAGTACTTTTGGAATGCCATATTTTTAATGACCGGCGGCARCTGATGATGRTCACCGATCATAATCCAACGTTTCAAACGATTATAACCATCGAGCGGATCTTGTAACAGCAGCGGTATAAATGTTTCAATTTCCAAAATTTGCGCTGCCTCCTCCATCAGTATGTTGTCATAGCGAAAGCCCAAATTAACTAGTTCTTTACGSTTCAACGCAGCGTGTGTACAAGTCATGGCTATGATTTTTGCTTCTTTCACAAGTAAATATTTGGAGCGATCCAAACCGGTGCGCAACAGTTCGAATGCGCGAAATTCCTCCAGCTCTGCGAAAATATGCGTTATATAACGGAAACAGGATTTGGCAATTTCCATATATTCATCGTATGTTTCGCCTTTAAAAAGCGGTTGTGGCGCATCGGCGAAGAAACGTGTRAAAGGAAATTCTTTCTCGAAGACTGCACGCCATGCCGCCGTCTCTGCTGCAACGGAAACGGCTGTGGCTTGTGTAAGAAATTTTTCCCAACGCGCCACCACATTGTAGAGATAAAAGTARCCGGCTGTTTCGCAAGTGTACGCATTGTCGCCGAGCACATTGAGCGATTCYTGCAGCTTTTGTACTTTCTTAAGCAATTCCAAGCGCTGTGTCAACACGTAGTTGACGCGTCCATAACGACTGAAATCTTTCTCCGTTTCCAGTGCCTCTTCGCCGTGACCCAGACGTAGTAAATGCCGTTCGTCAATGTCTAAAGCCATAATTTTTTCGAAGAGTTGATTAAGCGCCTGATTGGAGTGTGTTACGATTAAAGTGCGTTGATTGGGATGATTGTGGTAGATATTGGATATGATTTGCACTGCCACATCAGTTTTGCCTGTACCTGGTGGGCCCACCACCAACGTTAGACCGGGTTGCATGCCAGCGCGTATGGCCTCCAATTGGGTAGGGGTGAAACGTACCGAATTTCTGAAAGGTAGTTGACAATTAATCGGTGAGACAAAAGATATGCAACATTAATCAACAACTTTTTGGATTTCATTTTTAAAATGAAAAAATCCGCCCAAAATAACATTTTAACATTAACATTTTCAATTATGGAAAGAATTAGATCGTCGACATAATAGCCATTAAAGGCAGCACCTACGCTGGCTGAGTCATRTCGTCCGAATGGACGAAAACACTCCAGCTCTAAAAGTCTTCGACGCAGTACTCCCCGAGAGAAGSAGCGGAAGAGGAAGACTTTCACTTAATTGGTAAGATGAGGTGGARAAGGATCTGGCTTCGCTTAGAGTCTACAATTGGCGCCAAGCTAAGAAAAGGAAGACTGACTGGCGTGCTGTAGTAAACTCGGTTATATCGCGTAAGCGTTGTCTACGCCAATAAAGAAGAGGAACCGGTTATTGTGGGTTCGCGGCGGTTAAAAAT